ACTATAGAACCTCACAGGTATAAATAGGCGAGGGTGATGAACTCAATAGCCTATCATTTTCTGTTTGCTATGTACTCAAATCTCGCATTTGTAACGTTCATCTTTTATCTGTATTCATTTTTCTTTTATAGCCCCCGTTGAAGGTTTGTGTTGCAAACCGAAATATCGGGCAAATATAATTTACCACTTTATTTTTGTTCTCTTCCTCTATTTTTTCTATCACTCTTCCTGCCGCAAGGATCAGTTTCCTGTTTAAGTCAGAACTTTGGTACTCAAGATTTTACTGATCCAGGTCTACTAAGGATCCTGTGGACCCTTACTGGTTTGTCGTGGTTTTGCCTTCACAAGTGTTTCTCCCTGTATCATCAGCTACCATCGCCTCCCCATCAACTATCGCGCTTTGCATCAGCATGTTCAATTGCAAATTTTTCATGAGACCTTAGTTGATGATTGCTTTTCCGCTTTTGCCCCCCTTGAGATCTCGTTATTGATAGTTTTTCGGTCACCTGTCTCTTGTTCAACTTGTTGGAACCCGGATTCAGCAGCGTTGCCATGTGAGCTGGAATACGGCATCGGGCGAATCAAATGAGAAGACACCTCAGTTACCCAAAAAGGACGGCGGAGAAACCTTGTGTCACAAGCGTGACCCAAACTTCTCCAAAAGACCAGAACAGAGCAAAGATAAGGACAGAACTCGCACTATCACGTTTGTCGCTTGTTATACTTTTTGCCTTGTTGCATAAGCTAAGAAAAAGACTGAAACGGTAAAAAAATCTAACAAAATAATAACACAATAATGATTATGATGATGATGATGATGATGATAATGATGATGATAATGATAAGATCATGCCTGATAATACACATAGTCTGCCCATTTCGATACCAGGGTAATCGTAAGAGGGAAAAAAACTGAGAAGGTGGAAAACCACTAGGACCTTAAATTTTGACAGTTTGGCGAGTTTCACTTCGGAAGTGTCAGCCTGCGTAGCAAGCGTTTCCGCGCGAGTCGTCGAGAACGTCGGGACGATTGGAAACGCTTGCTACGCAGGCTAGGGAAGTGTCGTAAAGTGAAGATCATATCGATTGTCATTGGAGCTCTTGAGGCCCTGCGAAAGGAACTCTTAAAGGTCTCGAAATGTCACGTGCATTAATTCTGTTACAGAAAGCGAGTCTATTGGACTCTGCAGGAATACCGATGAAAGTATTGGACACGTAATTAATGAGGTTTTTAAGAGCCATCGCCGGGACTAACCAGTTAGCCATATAGACTTCCCGCTTCCAACTTACATTGAGCTGTGTTATAAATCAGTAATAATAAATTAATGAAATGAATAAATAGATAAATAAATAAAGATACAGATCAAGCCCATAGAAAACAAACAAAAACAAACAAAAAACACACACACGGAGAACTTGAAAGAGTCACGAGCAAGCTTAATTTGGGTCATTTGACTAACGTGACTTCGCTCAAGTAAACGCGCACGCAATTTCCAGTCGTGAATATCATGAGCGATTGTTTTGAACTGCGCGTTATCTTGATTCGTTTGGCCATAGGTCATAGTGGACGAGAAGTGATACAATCAATGATCATTGACCATATGAACTATCATGACGTTCGTAAAGAAAACAATCACTGCACACTCATACTTATGATGTGAAATCAACATTACCATCACTAACGGCACTGCATAACAATTTCATAAAAATCACTATATTTTGTCACTCCAGAGTTAGTGCTTTTGCACACACTGACACAGGGAGGAAGAGGGAAATCAATGGTATATATACCCTATATATAACATCGCTATCCCAACACCTGCATGAAAAGTGATAGAAATGGCTAGGCAAGCCTTACATACAAAATATAGTAGCTTTCCGAGCAAAATCAATGGCTTTCATCACCAGAATTAAAACGCCCACGCTTAATTAAAGCAGGTGCCCATAATTAGGCCCCCCATTAAAGATAGTAAAATCCTTCAAGTTACCCTGGAAGCAATTAGAAAGTCAAAAAAACAAACAAACAACACAAGGCGCTCCGTTAGTATTATATGCACTTCATCGAGGAATTTTACACGTGCGTTAATGTGATAAAAAACCACGAGGCATTGACATTTTTTATTATATTTTGCGCTCCTCACCCTCCCGCTTGCCCTTGGGGTGAATTGATCCTCCGCGGTTTTTTCTTTTTCTTATTTGCCCGCGTGGCGGGCGCAGGTTAGATTTTTCTTCAGTTTTCATGTAAGCATGCTCGACCAACTCAAAAGAGGAAACAGAATATCGCTGAGGTAGAGCTCGTGCTAGCCGCAATGATAGGTCTTGTAAGCCTACGAGGCGACGGGCCGACCCGAGCTATACCATCTGGATGTCATCAATTTATAAAGATTGTGTTCCACTCGTCCTGGGATATCTGGCCATCCTATATTTCCCCTTCAATAATGACAAAACTGTGATTAAGTTAAGGGGTTAGTTTCAACTCCTTGAAATTGGGCTGCGTCCTAAGGAAGTAAAGCACAAACCTTAATACACTGACGCTGGAATATTTCGATAAGACCATTGTATTTTTCATTTATTTACCACAAGGAGGAGGTGTTGTTGTTTTATTCACGTCTTTGATGTCGCTATTTGTTAGTTGATAAAATAACAATAATATAAAAAAATTTAATGCTCTCGAGTTTAACTCAACATTATATAACTTTAGCATTGCTTAATCTACAACTAGTAAAAAAAAGCGTAACAACTTGCGACCAAGCTCTCCTGATTTTTCTCCACAGTTTCTAGATTGTAAAAAAAAAGAGCAACTTGGTCGCCAGTTAACATATACTGTTGCTATATTCCTAGACTTTCACTCAACCAAACAGGGACAGCCATTGGCTGATTCTTGGTCACATGGCCTTGACTAAAATCAAATGTATCCCGATCTTATCCCGATCGGGGTACATTGTATCAAGCAATGTACCTCGCTCGGGATACATTATAGCACCTGATCAAAGCATGGTGGAAAGTGGCGTGACAGAAGGCGGGAAAAACACTGTCAGTTTTCTTTTTCGTGAATGAACACAACAACAAAGTTATCTAGTAAGAGAAACAGCAGCTAGTCGGGAGGAAAAAGATGCAGATAATATAAGGAAAGTATTTTGTGAATCATTCATTAAGTGGTTTTGAGAACTTAATTTGTGTTCTTATAAGTACCGAGTCGACTGTTTTGATTCGCTCCGCTAAAGCGTATTCTTTTGTTGCCGTTGCAGTAGGTTGAAGTAAAGTCTAGAAATATAACAAAACACTTAATGTCAGGTCCCTCGGGAAACCAGTTAGTTTTGTTTTCCCTCGAGTCCTGATGTTTCCCGAGACGATCAGGACTCTCGGGAAAACAAAACTAACTGTTTCCCTCGGGATCTGACAATAAGTGTATGATTGACTACAAGGCAATTTTATTGTCTGCCAAAAGACAAAACCTAGATAGGACCCTTCCGCACCAGAATAACACACTGATTTGTTTGTCTCTACTAAGTAATGATAAAATTAGCTCCGATAATACGCGAGCACACTTGAAAATAGCACTTTTCACAAACTGTGCAGGTCATTAAATGCTAAATGGAGTACAGAATAATTTTCGCGCAAAAAATTGAGGTACGGAGCAGAAAAACCATATGCTTGACAAAATCTGATAGAAAATAAAAACTGCGTCTACTCTCGTTAAACCACAACTATTGACCACGAGATTGCCAAGTTAAAAGCAGTTAAGCCCAAAAGAAGATGGGCCCATAAACTACAAAAACTAGAGAGACTTAAACCTATGACACAATCTCCAAACTGCCAGTGTTTTGGTCCGCAATCTCCCAGGTTAACATACCAGTATCCCTACCGATTCATGACACTATCAATTATAAAAAAATAACAAGAAAGTTTCGAGACACTGAAGAGGGATAAAAGAGTGCTAGTTGACCAAATGATTATTAATAACTGATAGGTGGCCGTAAATAAATAAACGTCAGAAGATACCTATTTTTTAACGTTTTACGAAGATATATATGTACGTAAAGAAAAGTAATTAAAGTAATGGTCATGAAGATGAGGACGATAAGGATACCAATGGATACAAAAAGTAATAATAATAATAATAATAATAATAATAATAATAATGGTAAAGGTAACGATAACTGGAACGATAAGCTAGCGCGCGCTCCCATTGGTTACTTCGAGGTCACATGGCATCTAACAATGAACTGTTTCGCGCCAAAATCTCTAAGCGGGCAACAAAACAAAATCTATGACGTCAGAGGGTAACAGTGCAATGTTACCCGCGAATATTGACCAACGACCGCCGCTACAACGAAGTTCAATAATTTCCAGTTTCAAAACGTCCAGCTATATAACAAACTTAACATTGAGATTCTCGGGAAACAAAATTAACTGTTTTCCTCGGGACCAGTCATTAAGTGTTAATTCTTGTTTACTCTAGCGAATTTTCGAAACATGAAATTCATGTGAATCCTATTAAGCAGATAACTATCCAAGTTACTCAAGTTGTAGTGAAACAGTTATTACTTGTACATGCTTAAAAGTCTTGATCATGCTCTTTTCCTCGTGCGTGGTCACCTTTTTTACTTAATCTTCAAAACGCGGCAATGACAACTACTATCGATCCTTAGTGCAACTTAAACCTATATTTTGCACTTCCCTCATCATTAAAACACGAAAACCGTCATTGAAAATATAAGCAGAATATAGTGATATTCTCAAGCGAGAAGAAATTACAGCACCTTGTTGTCACCCACCATGGGTGGCTGGCTGTGCGTCATAAGGACACTAATTGAAGATACACTTTTTTTGCCTACAGGTACGGGTGCGCCTGACTTGTCCCCAGTCATCTTCGCGCGTACCGCGCACGGCGGAAGCAGGGGGTGATGGGAAGGGAGAAGAGAGCCACTTGTCGGCGAGTGAGCGAACATTTTTTGCAACCGGTAGAAACTTATACAACATGCGACTAGAAGTGGTTATGACATCATCGTTCTCCCGGTAGCCAAGCCCTAATTCTCGTGGGTAAAGGACGGTCTTTCTACTGAAGGTATGGGTAAATTACCCATACCTGTAAACAGAAATGGTGTATCTTAAGTTGTCTTAGCCCAACTTTTTCCTCCTTATATATTGAACAGCGGCAGCCAATCCAAACTGCAGGAAAAAAGCATAACATTATTAAATCCAACCAGAAAGGAATGATGCACGCGAAAAATAAAAAGTAAATACATCAACATATGATTAAAAACAACAAACCTGGATTATAGCCACGAGTATTCCTCCTACGCCAACTAATTTAAGATGACTGGAAGCGGAACGCCTTACCAATTTGAGACAACCCTGTTGAAGGATAAAAGGTGACAAACAGGTTGAGAATAATGCAATGTGGGAAGTCAAATGGAAACCCTCATTCGATTTCTGACACATCAACAATTCGTGCGTTAAATGCCGTGCTCAAGCACCTTCCATGAAGTATTATGTATATTTTTTACTTTATAATTATGACTAAACAGGCGGACGAGTTCCTATCATACTTATTCTCATGCAAAAGGCCAAATACTCACCCTATTGACCAAGCGAACTTACCCTGCGATTAATCTTGCTAAGTTCAAATTCAAATCCACAGGCATGCACCTGATCAGTACAACAACTGTCTGGTACTTTGTCATATCTATGACCACCATATGTAGTATTCCGCCAATCAGCGTAGTTGATGACTCCACAACATTGGTTCTATGTTGAGAACAGTGTGTATTAGCTATATATAGTGAGGGGAGGAGTGTTTAATAGGAAGTGCCTTTGGAATGGACTGATTAAAGACGTCTATCACTACAATGGTAATTCTTCGCACCTTTGATTGTACTCTGTTTACACTCACAAGGGATCCATAATGACCTGTCACACCATACTGCTTTAGGTGAACTGTTAAGTCATCCTCCATTGTATTTTCCACCTAAAAAAAGAGACAGCTGCAGTTTTTATAACTCTACTTCCAAAATTTTAACTTTTCACTGGCTCAAACAACCCTGTTGTAAGACAGGCGACAAGCTTGCAGTCCTGGGCATTCTCTCTTGCTCCAGTGTATCAAGAAATAGATAGGGAGCAACTAACAGAGAGTGCAAATAATTCAACAGCATTAATGACAATAATGCAAAATAAAAAAAATTGTAAATTTGTGGTATGCAGCAAAAACATTGTCTTGTGCCTTGACAGGACAAACAATGCATAAAATAACAATTTTTTTTAAAAAAAGGATAAAGACATACCTGTCCAGTATAAACAAAAGCCATAATTGCAGCCACAAAGGCAAGCAAGGCAGAAAGTAAAAGAACAATCAAAAACTGTAGGAAAAAAGAAAATTTTATACAATACAGATAAAGGTACAATAACTTTTTCAATTCAAATCATTCACAGAAATTTTCTAGTACATGTAAAACAGTATTACTACTTTCAAAGCTCTTGGTAGATTACTGATTTTCAAATTGCCTTATCTCTGTAACTTCAAAAAGTGACAAACACTTCCAATAAGGGGCAAGCCGTTAACTGGGATGATAATGCCAATAAGAAGTACAATCATGTAAATGTCAGTTAAATTCTGTTGAAAATGGACACTAGACTTGCATTCCAATCTGTTAGGTCAACCATAGTCAAATCGGCCACTTTAAACTTCACCCTAACCCTAACCCAGAATGTGCCTTTACAAGAAACATAAGATGGCCATGGAGGAGTGTGTACAGGGGTACGACTTAAAATCAATGAAAAAGCCATTCTCCATGTAGTCAAGATAGAACTTCAGCTGTATCAACAAATAGAATTTCTTTAAAAAACAGTTAGCATTAAATAATTTTGTTTGGTGATTCTTTACAAGTTATCTTTGATTGGAGGGCGACTAGCCTGCAAGAAGTCTCTCTTTTTCTTCTGATTTAGTAAGGAGGGTGCACACGCACGCAAGCTTTTTTTTCTTCTCGCACGTTTCGCTCAAGGGACTACAAAAAAATGAGACTGTTCCTAGTCTAGGAGGTGACAAACCATTGAAATGCCAATTATTTATGTCAATGCAGTCAGATGCTCTCTCCTGAGAACATTATTTTTTGCACGTCCTGGCTAACTAAGGCTTCGGAACAGGCAATGGAAACCTCACTCCCTAAAAGTGGCTACAGTTGCTTACTAGAGGTGGTCATTTATAAGTGGTTCCAACAATAGTGATTGACTAGTAAAATTTGCCTTCTTTGGAACCGAACTTGCTTACAAAAGGAGTATCCTAATAAGAGGAGGTAGCACATGGCAGTTCAACTGTACTACTATGAAAACAAAAATTTCTATTTAGATATTGTTCACAATTTGGGATGGAATGCTTATCCTCAACTTCACAAAGAAACAAGATGCTTCCCAGTTACTTACTATTAATAAATATTTCTTCGCTTCTGTTGGTGGGCATTCTCTACATTTCATTGCAATGACTTCAACACTTCCAGCAATAATACTCAAAATTCCAGCAATAAGAATGACAACAGCTGCTGATTGAAATGGCACAGAGGAAAGAGCAGCATGGTCTTTCTGATTAACAAGGACTGCAATACCTGATGCAAACATGAAAATGCCTAAAACCTGTGAAAAGATGAAAATATTTATTTAAAGTGCTGTTCCTCATATGGCATTCTCAACACCTGTACTGTTTCAATTACATTTTGAAGGTTACAGGGTAAATCTAAATTTTATCCATTCTATTTGCTTTATTTACTTTTTCAAACTTGTGTTAACACAGCACAGGTGAATTAAGTCCTGTTATGTACAAACGAACTGGCATTTCTGTTGGTTTGCTGGCTCAGTTGGACTTGGGTGCTGAGACAGTATTGAAGAGGTCAGGGTTCAAATCCTGCTAGATGTTTTCAAGCTTCCTTTTCACAACTGCATAAATTGCATTTTTGCACTGCAACTGTGAAGATCTAACTACTTTGCATCTACTTCTTCATCCCACAGTTTAAATATATATGAAATTCATACATTCATTTATTTAGGCCTCATTTTGCAATAAGTTGTGTATCGCTGCGATGGCCTTCTCTGCATTGTAATTGATGCAATGTCAGCGATGTCAATGATGTACATTGACATTCTGCAATTTCAGTTTATTTAGGCTTATCATAATACAGTTATAAACAAATACAGTGTATTGTATAAATTTAAGTAAGAACCAATCCCAAGTTTTGTGGTAGTCAATGACTATACAGTTGCATCCGCTTCACCAAATTTACGAACATGATTAAGAACTAGTCAAAGACTCATAGCCTATAAAGTAACCAATTATCAATACACTAGAAGGACCCAAAAATACAAGAACCTTTTTGGCAGACTCCAAAAAATGTACGTTTTTACATGCAGATTTTTACTGTAGTACTGCATTAATCACAATAACTTTAACCAAATTAAAATAATTACTGAAATCGGATCCATAGCTCTGTCTTAGTCAGACAGCAATGAAACATAACACAACTGAGTAACACTCCAAAACCATTAACATACTGAAGAGAAAATCAAGTTTGTTTGTGCTTTTCACAAGCGTGTGGCAGAATTTCTAAGCTGTAAAGCACACCACCATGAGCGCAAACCACCAAACCAAAAATTGTCTCTTAATATTATTGTTACATTTGGTTGTGTGGCAAGATAGGTTCCATACAGTGTTTTACATGCTATAACAGCATTATATTAAAGTGTATCCTTTTCACTCGAAAAAAAAAAAGAAAAAGATTGTGACGTCATTATATAGTGCAGTGATTGCACCAATGTCATTTACTTCTCATTTCCATCAATTTGGATACTAATTTTACTTCAGTCTTGTTCATTCTTAATTTTTCAAAGTGATACTGATTTTACTTAAAACTACACTTTGACAAACTTCAATCCAAAATCAGTCAGTAGAAAAAATTTTATAGTGATCAGACAAGGATAAAATCACTTTTAAAACAATGAAAACCATTGGTATGGACTCAGAAAAACTGTATCAAAACACTGTAAACTGTATCGAATTTCCACAAATTCCAGAAGGTGCTTGTCATACACCTCCTTTCCCAACCCCCCCCCCCCCCCCCCCCCCACCTTCTTTTTTAAAAAAAAAAATTTTTTTTTTTTTAATAAAAAAAAAAAATTTTTTTTTTTTTTTTTTTAATATAAGGGTTTTTGTGTTTTCTGAAAACATCTTTTTTTATAACAATCTATCAGAGTACATCTCATATTTTCTTTTTAGTATTTAAACAATATTATAAATTAAAAAATTTTAAAGAGACAAAACAAGAAAAAAAAACCTTTAAAAAAAAAAAAAACCATTGGATGGGCCCACAAAAAAATTTTAAAAAAACCGTTAAAACTCATCGAATTTCCCAAAATTCCAAAAGGTTCTTTTCAAAACCCCCCTTTCCCCACCCCCCCCCCCCACCACACTATTTTATTATGCAAAAGATAATTTTTTCTGCGATAAAATGAGATAAAATCTTTTTATTTATGTTAATACGTATACGGTGTCTAATGGTCTCAAGGACGTTCTTAGCTAATAATTAACCATAGAGGTGATACCTTAATTATGCTACTGACTACACGAATAATGTCATCTGCAAAAGAACCAGTTACTTTCAAACTAAACACCACGTGAACTTTCAGTACTTCATTTCAGTTAGAACATGTTACAAGAAGGCTTAACACATGACCAAATTACAGTGAATCAAATGTGTAATAAAGCAACAGCTAGATAACTGGAAGTTTGTTCATGAGCCGATGACAATAAATATTGTATTTAAGAAAACTATAGTGAACTGTGAAAAAATCATTTAGCCAACCGTAAATTTTATAGGTAAAAGATGATCAATGTAAACAATAATACTTGTTTTGAAACAAAGGTATAAACAGTAAAATAACTGATAGCTTGCTCAACCAAGAAGCTGTTAATAACTCACCAATCTTACTCAGACCCACTGGAAAAAAAACCACTGTAAGCATCCCAACCCCCTTGGAAATCACTGTCTTTTGGACCCCCCTCCCCTCAGAATTTCAGTTGCTCTCTGTGGGGAGGTATGGCTATTTTCTGGAACTACACACACATTGTAAACATTTCCTAGTGAATTAATTAGCGCGATTTGAAAACATGATAAGATAGAATGTACTTACTACAACACAGATGCCCACACCAGGAAGGACTCTACTTGTGTAATGTCTCTGATGCGCATTACGTACTAAGCCTTCCATCGTTAAACCTGCCATTTTTCTTCCTGGCTCTGATACAGTGATTGTCCTGACAGTTCTACATGCAAAAAATCATTGCAAATAATATTAAAGTAATTACAAACAACAATATTATATTCTATAGATAAAAAAACAAATGGAAACTACTAGTAGTAAATAGAATTAGAACTAGGGACCAGCAAGATTTTAGTTTACTTGGCCTCTAGACACCAAAATTACGCTCCAGTTAGTAGTAATAAATAGTAATAGTAAGAGAAAAAATATTTATGCTTCAATCTACCCACAAAATGGCAAACCTTACTCAGAATGAAATATGTGCTGTGCTCTGTTCGAAAAGGCAATACAAACAACATGATGGAGAAAAAATGGCTATGTGAAATTTTGCACATAGCCGGTTTATTAAACTCTGGAAATCCAATACAAATATAAACTGAAACTTTCATTAAACATGTATTGCCGGCGAAGGTGAGGGCAATCAACCGCCTAAACAATACAAAAAAATAGAACAAGGAAGAGGCAGGAATGGGGAGGAGGAGGGCTAATGAAAATATTTTTGTGTCAACGAGATCAAGAATGCGACGATCAATAAATACGACATTACCTAAAGACACCATATTGAATTGAAAATTCAAATCAGTACCCTCGATTCCATGTTCCTAGCCTCTTTCCTCATTACTGTACTCATAAACTGTGTAAGGCTAAATTGTTGCACAAAATTTTATTTGAAGACGAATAATGCATGTGCTAGAAATATAATGTGTGAATGGTGTAAATAAAGTGTTATGTTCAGTTATTTTAAGTAATATTTGTGAAGGGACCTTCAGTCTGTTACGAAAGTCAACAATCTAGCATGTACATCTTTAGGCAACTCGTTCAAACATGATTAAAGATTTATATGAATTCAAGTATTAATAATACATTGATCATGAAATCTACTTTCTGGAGTTTCTAGTTTTTATGCAAAGAAATACCACAATTTTGTTCTTTTTGTAACTGTACTACATGTAAATTTTACTAACTAACTGGAAAATACACTGATTATCAACCCATCACCACGGATAATCAGAAATAATTTGGGGTCAATCAGGATTCCTTAATATTATTGAATCAACCTTGACAATGGCTTTCTTGATATTGTAATATTTCCGTCTTTGTATTGGGGATAAGTCTGAGGCTACTGAAGCCAAACAAATAGAGGAAAATTCTAGTTGTGATATACCTTGAATTTTTTGCCAGCCATCACAGAAATCTGAAAGTGGTCACAGTCCAACTCCCAATTTCAAGGATTTCCTTCTTTAACATCTTTTTGCAAAACCACAAATAGGATTTGCAAAATGGTTGTGCCCAGATTTCCCAGTGACCAAAGATTTTACTGGGGATTTTAAACAAGAATTCAAAGCTGAACATTTTGTGAAAAACTTTATGATCTCGTGAAGTTATTTTGATTTGGACGTTTAGCAGGGGTAGGGTAGTGAATTCTGAAAATAATTTATGCATTATATCTATTAATTTTCATTTTGTAGTCACACAAGTAGACAAAGGAAGCCCGCCATGTAAAAACATATCAATAATAGTAACAACAAAATAGTAAATAAAGGTTCTTACTGCTTGAGTTCTTAAATAAACGCTTGCTTGCGTTCGTTTGATAAACTGAATAATACTCAAAGAACTTGGACAGCACATGCGATTGAGAGAGAAACAAAACAAATGCTTTCGCGAGAAGGAACCGCCTTTCACAGTAAAATCGGCGAAATTGACGATTATTTGTATTCATGGCAATTTTATAACATTTCTTGATACTTTCTACAAAGTTCTCCACTGCATTTTAGCTTAATGTCATGCACAAGCATGTATGACTGAGTGGCTTAATCGTCAATGCAGCCTCAATACAATCCAATCCAGCAATGAAAGAATTTATCATTTCTTTTTACCTTCAGAATTGCACCAAAATAAGGTTAAATCCAACTTCTAACGCCTTTAAGCGTCGATGATTTTTTCAAATGCGGTTAAAACACCAACAGCTTCACATTGCAAGACGACTTAAACGCGGGCGTAGTTTTTCAAGTCATACTTCTGGCCATTGGGGAGTGACCTGGAACCCAGGCCCTTTGTTTCTCGGCGCATCCCAACGACTAAAGAAAACCGAGTAAGGGCCAGGGGACAAAGCTGTGGACTTTGGAGTTCAAACAGATTGGGTTCAAAACAACGCGTTGACAGTTATCAAGTTACAAATCTGCGGAAACTCTCCCTAACTCGTGCCAGAAGACTGATTCTTAAAGAAAATACTATAAGTAGTTTGTAAGAGAGTTAACCTTCGATCAGGTGGACCTTCTTCCCTTGAGCCGTGCCATCTTCTTTCCCCCTCCCTTTCCCCGTCCGTTAGAAGAAAATCAGTCCAAATGGATGTAGTGAAATCTCATAAGACAAACTTAAGCAAGGGGCACACATACACCATGTACACCAACTGGCCAGTACCTCACGCATGGGCAATATCCTCCGGGCAGTGAGTGCGGCAGCCATGGACAGCTGTTTCGCCATAGTTCGAGAACTCGATCTTTCGACAACCCGGCCTATTTTTCGAAAACCAAAACCAAAAGTCGTTTCCAATTATTTTTTCTAACCTGTATGATTTTTTTTTTGTTTTCTTTCTTTTCATTTCTTTCCTTTTCCTTTTTTTACAAAAGCTTGTTCAAAATCCGATGGCGCCAGGCCGTCACTGTAGAAGCAAGTAAAACTTGGACTAGGGGAGGAAGGGGAGGAACGGGGGCAGGGGACGGTGGATAAAAAATAAAACTGAAATTAGAAAAAAAAAACGGAACAAAAATCCCCGCCCACGAAGTCTGCGAAATTATCTTACCGAACACCAACCCCCCCTCCCCCCCCCCCCCAACACAACCTACCTCTTGCCGTAATTAGTTGAGTATGACTTTTTGTGAAAGGTTTGAGCAGGCAACAAAAATCGACTTACAGTAATGGCAATGACACGTCTGTTTGACAAGTCTTGGAGTATAGCTGGGGCGGATCTAAAAAAAAGGGGTTCATGGGGTTCGATCGAACCTCCGAAATAAAGGCAGCTAACGTCAAAAACTTGTAAAAATATAAAACGAATACTGTGAATCTTAAATACAATAAATTCATTACCAAGTAGTATAAGCCTCTGCTATTCAACAAAGCTAAAATGTTTTCTTCTTAAAAAAACAAATAAATTCTTGGTTCACTGTGAATGTAGCTCTTTTAATTGTCTCTTTTCTCATACTTCTGCAAAGCATCACGCCAAAAGTGACATTTTGACTAGCTACATGCACCTTCCCTCTAAAAACCTGGATCCGCCCTGGGTATAGTGATGTGCTAGTAAAATAATGCCAAATACACGTCTTAGCTAGTAACAGTTGAAGGATTTGCAAAAAAGTTACTTTAAAGTGAAGCTTGGAAGTCGTTAAGCAAAAGGCCATTTCCAAGTTACCTTGGAATCCTGTCTGTTAGAGCGAGGCTAAGCGCAAAACCATTGATATTTTATTTGCACACCAAAAAGAAAATACTTTTTGCATAAAGGCTTTAGGGGGCTTTTCCCTGGGTCCACTGGCAGAGCCATAGAAAAGCGCCCAGGGGACGAGATTGCATGCACTTAGCTAGCGTTTGAATGAAAGAGTTTTTGGAACTCAGGAAATGGTCTATATGTAATATTTCTCCTCACTACAAAATTTGTTTTTTAATTCCTTAATTTGGAATACTGCTTGCAGACGTGTGTCGTCAAGAAGGACTATATAGTTTCGTTGCAGGTTCACTCGGTCTCTATCATTTGCAACTTTTCCCGTATACACTTGCAACTCTGATCTGAGAAAACGAGTCCCTCATTGAGACAAGCGAAGCATTATCTGCCATTTAGTATTCTTCCTTTTATGCGGCTTTCTCGGATTGGTAGGTAACAATCACTTTGATACCACCTCACCAACCAGAATCGACTCCTTCGTCCCCTCTCTACGAATCATTTTTGGCCTGCCACAAACCCGGCTCCCAAGATGACGACACAGTACTGTTCCTGTTAAATACATTCAGTGATTTTTTGTGCACCTTTTTCCTAAAGCAATGCAGCAACTATAAACTTACATCCTGAAAAACTTTAATCTCCTATTCGGTAACCCTAAATTCAGCCTCGTCATCTGTCTCCGCCCCTCTTGAGTAGCATTCTTTATTCGTATTGCTTATGATTTTAAACTACCTCGCATGAATTATTGGCGTAAGTAATATAATAATTTAACCACTTAAAAAAGGTTGTTTCAATAATGATTCTTAAAAATTGACTAATAATAATAACAACAATGATAAGTCATGGTAATAGAACTGAGTGGAGAACAATTCAGGGAGTAATCGGAGCTAATCGGGCTAGTTATAATTTCAAACCTACTTTCAAATTACGAGCCCGATTACTCTGGAAGATCTGTAAAGGAGACAACGCGTGCACACAGTAGACAAGTGGTACAAACACGAGCCACTGAAAAGCTCTCACATTGTCATTAAAACAATCAGGATAAAAAAGGCACTCTCGTTGATGTGGTTATACCCTCTAATAAAATAATTCTACCAAGGTTTCCAAAGAATTATCCAAGTATGAAGATCTGCAGATAGAAATCACCAGAATGTGGCAGATGAAGACAGAAATAATCACAGTGGTTCCAGGTGTGTTACGAGTTAATATTAGACGCCAGTGCAGTCTTGTAGATGACAAAATTACAGCTTCCTGTCAAACGAATCGGATAGGTCTCCTTGGCATTATGTTAAAGTTAACATGACTATAAACAATAAACAATGAAAATGAGCCTTAAAAAATTAAACTCTTATAAGCAATAACAAGCTTTCAAAAATCCCTTAATAAAATCCGCTTTGTTTTCTTCAAGTCTGTCCACTTCGGTGCCTTTTTTTCATAAATATTTTTATTATTTACTGTGACTGTCTATTTCTTTTAAAGCTTTGTGTGGCCGTTATTTTTACGCAACACTCCATTTGTTGGTTCTTCCCAATGTTTGGATTTTGGTCAGTTTTCTGACACAGGCTGAAGCTGGCGAATGTATTTAAAACCAATATAGAAATATTTGTCCCTAAACGGAGAAATAGAGCCACCTGTATGTATATCAGAAGTGTTGCAAAACGTTAGTGTGAATTATTTATGATTGAGATAACTAGGTCAGTATTAAATTACACGCAATCTTCTGAAGAGGCCTTATTTTGTTCACGTACATCAGTATAATACGTACTTCGTCTCAAGAGTAATCCGGCCCTTGAGAGATAACCCCGAAAAATGATTAACGGCATAGTCTTGCTGCTATTTTTGCCAGTGATCGTTACTGGACAACAAATAATTCAGTTTCAAAATGCACAGAGCTTGAAAAGAGATCAGGAAAAGGGCATATTTTATGCTCATTTTAAAGCTCATCACCAACATCGTTTGAATGTGTTGCCTATAAAGAAAAATGCATTAAGAACTCAACAGGAGTGTGGCCAATTTTGTGCTGATACAAAAACATGTTTTTCCTTTAACGTAGCTTCAGTGACGGACGCTAACAACAAACTAGTTTGCGAGCTTTTGCCGACTGACATTTTTAACAAATCTGAGAAATTTGGTTCTAATCCTAGTTTTCATCACTTCAGCATAAAGGTAAGAAATTGCTATTTTATTATTCGGCTCTTTTTTGTTTTGTTTTGTTTTTGTACTTTCACGATGGGTAGTACATATTTCAACCAATTTTCTAACGAAATGTTTTTAGGGTGAAGGAAATCCTTCTTTTCAGCGGCATTGTTTTTGTTTGGGAATAAGCTATATTGAATTGTGTTATGGGACCATCAGTAACGATGTCAATGCTTAATTCTCAGACACCCTGTTCCAAAAAGCCCTGCAAGAATGGAGGAAGTTGTGTGGCAAAGTATGAAGAAGACGCGTTTCAATGTGTATGCGCCCCAGGGTATACAGGAACACACTGCGAAACAGGTTAGGCGATCTCATTTTGTTATAAAGTTCAAAGAGGAAAAGCTAATTAAAATTGGCTTCGTTTTTAAACTACAACGGGGAAAAATTCAATGAGAAGAATTATTTTAAAGGTCCTTACAGAGGAAAACCAGCTTGAAATGCAGTCACTTCATGTATTTATTATTGGGAGTAGATGATGATTATTATGTTAAACAAATAGACAACTGTAGCAAGCTGCATCAGTCAAACTAATGAGATGACGATATTAAGATACAATTGTTACATCGCCAAACTATCAAACAAAACTGAAGAGGCGTAGTGAGAGTGTCTTATATGCACCGTTGGGCTTTCAATTAATATTATTACACCTAAAAAAACCACTTAAAAGAAATCAGTGGAACTTGACTAGTTGCACACCAAGATATAAACTTAATTAACCCGCTTTAGTGTTCGGCTGTTGCCAAGGCTGTTAAAGCTAGTAATTTTCGAATTCAAAACGTGCTGCTGTTCACAGTTCTTATGCATGTTTTAAGCTTTACTTGAAATATTCTGAGTTAATTTTTGCATAAACTGACTTTTCTCCATAAAACTGTCAGAGAACTTGTTTCTTAATTTCTTTCTTCTTATTATTACTTAAATCTATTACTAATGAAAGCCCTAAAATTCGGTTTTTAACGAATGCCGAAAAAGAAAAGGGTTACGGCATATAAGAAAGTAACTTGGAAGAACTCAGTGTTGGGTTGAGATTTCCATTCAGTACAAGCAACCTAAAATTTGAAACAGTTCCCGCTTTATGTATACTTAGTTCAAAGAATTTTTCAAAACCTGATAAAGAGCTTACAGTGTACGTGTTACCTTCGGAACTGGCATGCATTAAAAATGCAGGTGTGTATAGTTGTGCTTTGTTTTACAGTCGACTGTCTCTTAACGGACACCTCTATAAGACAGACACCTCTGTAAAACGGACACTTATAGTTGGTCCCTGCCTTTGCTTATTCCCTTTATTTGACTCTTTATAAGACGGAAATCTCTCTAAGACGGACACTTAATGCCGATCCCAAAGGTGTTCGTCTTGGAGAGAGTGGACTGTACCATTAATTGGTATTATTATTCATTCAAAATATTTCCCCAATTTTGATTGGCTAAAAGCACGCGCATAACTCACCATAACCAGTTACTGATGACCAAATTTGGAAGAATTTTGTGTTTAACGAAGAAATGACGTCAATAATACAGCCTGCTATACAGGTTAATTAAGGCACCGTTACCTAGAAGACCTGGGGACGAGGTTGAGTTGTTTTTGGTTGTGAAAACAAAACTAGCGGACACTTCACTCGTTTCAAGAGTAACAACTATAGCTGGAACTAGGCGAAATAATAGCTAAAAACATAGCAAAAACAGTAAGAAGACAACTCGGAAGGCGACATCTGCTATTTGGAGAATATTTGAGGAGCTGGACAAACCTAAACGTACACTATCGAAGATGAACTTAACATCGATGCAGGTAAGCATGTTTTAGCCAGATGTTTTTAAACTAGGAATTGCTTTGAATGAATAATAAAGCAATTAATGAATTCGACTTTCGTAGCATACATAGGATATGAAGAATTAAGCAGATCGAGGAGGGTGTTATCCACCCAGGCCGAAGCCGAATCACTAATTGCTAATTAAAGCACATTTGAAGAAATAAAATAACTGAAATATAGGTCGTTGTATTCATATTAACACTGACGTCGCGTAGAAGTTTTTCTGAGCTTTTTGAAGCTAGATTTGTCTTTCTCTTTAATTATTATTATAGTTTGATTTTATATAAGCAAGTAGAGATTACTAATATTATTCAAGCAACAAGAATAAAATACCACTCTTTTGGTAAGAAAATGAAAACCTGTTCAGGAACCTGACCTAATTTCCTAGGTAACCATCAATTATAAAGAAAATTTTCGAGGCTAGCCAGTACGAAAAATCGAGGGTCTTTCAAGAAGGTTTTTAGTATGTTACAGCTGGTATATCGACAAGTATACATGTGCCATAATATACAAAGTTGCGGAGCCATCTTCGTGATCATACGCGTTACATCAAGTGACCTTGTCGGGAAAAATGAATCAAATTCTTATCATCCATCTTAAAGCTTAAGGGAGTAGACTGAATTTCAAAACACGTCGTTTCTCGTCCTGAAAAGAAGATAGCCATGTCCGTGTCAGTATTTTACAATTTTATTTGCGCTTGTCTTCGTCGACGTCGCAGTTTCAAAACAAATTTGCGTTGTCGTAATTTCATCTGTCTCTAATGTCGCTGTTTTCCACGCCATGACGCTTTCAGGAAATCGACATGAAGGTTCTATACTTGCAAACTTTTTCTGATGAGTCAAATGCGTCAGATTTTTTTCTTGTCATGATCTGGATTTTCCCAGCGACTTCCAAAGAATTCTGACGATTTTCCGAAGACTTCCGAAAATTGCCGAAATATCTGAAGATGTTCCAACGGAGAATGAGCACTCGCGGAACTTTTCGGAAACGCATCAGTTTCTATGATATGGCAAAGTTAGGACACAAAGTCATCATTAGGGCCTTTTTGGAATATCTACTGGGAGATTGAATCAAATTTCGTTATTAATGATGTGGTAAAGAACAACGTACCCAGATTTGTGAATCAGGAGTGAGAAATTGTCCTTGATGCGTGAGATCAATGTCCTTAGTCTGCAAGCGTGAGACTCACGCATAATGCGTCTCTAAACGCAAGAGAGTCACAAGCGTCCAACCCACATTAAACATAGACTTGAAAATGCCCATTTTATCCGTCCTGTTTAGGAGTTGGGTGAGTTTACGCAACAGGACGGCGGAAAGAGGGGGACGGCAAAACGCTTTTGTGTGACAAAAGTGACTGGGCCATTACTTTCATGTTTTGTCGTAATCTTCACTAAATATTTTTTACATAAGGATCTGTTGCATTTTCATTAGAGTTACTAGAATGGAGTCGCAAATTTTCTGATTTTTGGGGTAAGACAGTTTTTCATATTTACCGTTATTAAACGTACCGCAGAACTTTGTACTGTCGATGAAAAGTAAGGTGTTCTTCATGCAAAATAAGGTAGATACATAATAGAAAGTGACTAAGTTGGGATCGCGAAAGTTACGTTTTTGCCCAAAAGTGACAAAGATGGGGTCTATAACTGGGCACAGAATAGACTATATATTTCTGAGAGGCCAGCAGCACATACCAGCAAAAATTAACCCAAGTACGTATACCCCCCCCCCCCCCCCCCCCCCCTGTCGCACAGAAATCACAGAGAGCAGGTAAAACAGTGAAAACAACAACATCTATATGTTTAACGGAGTCATACACAACAACGTAAAAGAGAACTATAAGTACGTCTCCCCCCCCCCCCCCCCCCCGTTAGGGCGTTAGGACAATCCTGTCTGCTTTGGGTCTTTATCTTTTGAACTGACCTTGATCTGAGTACAGTCAAACCTCGTTCATACGGACATTGAGGGGGGCATAGAAAGTTTCCGTATTAACGGGGTGTCCGTATTTAGTGGGTTGAATTAAGAGAAAATATAAGGGCTTTCTTTCGCCATGGACAAAGAAAACTGTCCGTAATAATGCGGTATCCGTATTAAGCCGGTGTCTGTAAAGCGGGTTTTGACTGTAACTTGTATTTGCCTTTCAGATATAAACGAGTGTGCTAGCAGCCCGTGCCAGAATGGTGGGTCATGCAGCGACCTCGTGAACAAATTTGTCTGCGCTTGTCCTCCAGGGTACGGTGGGGTCCTTTGTGAGGCTGGTAAGTAAATGGTGTGAGGGGTACAGTCGAGTTTAGGGTCTATTGTAAGGAGGGTACATGTATTTCAGTACAAATATGTTGTGAGCAACATTGGGGAGGGCTGACATTGTATTCTTTGGAATACATAATCATGGGATCATTCTATAATACATCTGTATTGCTCTTTTTATCGAAGACTGTAGGCATGGTGTAGCAACTCTTAATCACGAATCCGGCCCGAAAAAAATAACGCACAATGGCCTGCACACAATTTCACGTTCTAAACAGGACTCTCCTTGAGGCCTAATAATAAAAAATGCCAAATTTCGTACATGTCTTGGCAGAAGAAGTCCAAAGCGTCCTGTCGGTGTCTTTGCAAAGCAAAAAAAAAAACATACTAGACAAAACTGATTCTTATATGTGAAACTGAGGGGATATCATTCTTGACTTAAATCACTCAGCATACTGTCATGAGAATCTGCTTACTCTCAATGGTTTGGTGGCTAAATAGTGTCCGATGTATATTTATGAATAGTGTCCGATGTAATTTGCAAAAGCTAAGATTGTTACTTCAACTGTTCAATTTCCCCCGTAGTTCACGGTGGTTACAGTTCATGGGGTCAATGGGGCTCCTGTGACGTCTCATGCGGTGGTGGGACGCGTTACAGATACCGCGCATGCACCAACCCTCCTCCTCAGCACGGCGGAAACGACTGCTCTGGACTAGGGTCTAATGCTCAAACGGAAGTTTGTAACAGCAACAATTGTCCAAGTAAGTCGTTCAATAACGAATTTAAACAGGACTCGCCGCTGATTTGATAATTGCCGTCCCTCAAAAACTCTTTTTGTTGTGGCTTTGAGTTTGGCTGTTCACCTTGGATCATAGACATTAGTAAAATCGTCAAACCTGCTATTTTTGTAGTACTAGCTATAAAGCCACGCAAACTTCCTCTTAGTTGGATTCCTCGTTTTCGGCATACCTGACTATAGCTCTGGACTCCCCGGTGTTTTGAAAATTGAAATGCATGACTGACAGCTAGAGCTTGCGTCGTTCGTTGCTCCGTTGATTATGGTACAAAAAGTTAATAGGGGTTTAAGTTCTTGTGGTTGATAAAAAAAATGTTCTTCATATGTGTGAGCGTCATTGTATTTTAAGCACGAAAGAACAAATTGAGGACACTAATTTTACGTCTGCTCGTGGAAACGGGACCGCCATTTTACGTGGTCATCCGAGCCACCCGAAGGTCCAGCCGTTTGCAGTCCAAAGGCAGTACCTTCGTTTCTCAGTTATTTCAAGACTCCAAGTATTGGTCCGGCGCCGGAAATCGAACCCGGCGACCCTCCCGCTCTGCAGTAAACAAGCGCCCTACCGACTGACCTAATCCTACTGCCGCGGTTTTCGGGTAACACGTCCGCCGATGATAGAAAACGGTTAGCGTAGAAGTACCGACACTCGTTCTCAGCAGGGCTAGGTTTTGTAAAATAAAAAACAAGACAAAACAACAAGGAAATTAAATGGCTGACCTACTAGTCACCGCCAAATTTTTTTCGGACTTTAGCTTGTTTCAAAACTTCATAGTGACCAGCGAACAGTTGCAACTGAGCTTCAATATTTGATGATGGCGCTCACATCACCAAGGCGCCACAGTAAACACCCGCATATAAGAACAAATGGATTAAGAACGACTAGCTGAAATTTGGCCCATAAAGCACCATATAGATATATGTATAAGAAACCGAGTTTAGTTTGATAAATAAAACGTGTTCTTGTATAATAAGGGAGGGGGTGTCGGAATAAGAAAGCGTTGTAACTACTGGGTTGCTGCTAGACAATTACAAAACTATAGCAGTTGCCATGGGTGTCTTTAGGATTTTATGCTCCAGAGGATCATGTTATGCTCCAGCTGGTTGAAGGATGTAAATATCAAATACATGTAGTAAACTATCTGAAAAGAAAAGATCAATTAATTTCATGTTATGTGTAGTATTTCTGAAACAAAGTTTAAGAACATATTAAGAACGTCTTCAGGCTGATTTCTCAATAAGCACCCGATAAATAAGAACTAGATCAGGCTGAACCCCGAAATCATGTGTTCTTATATGCCGGTGTTTACTATTGTATCACTTCACGATCAGAGGTTGGACTAACACCCAAGGTCTGCCAGTTGGTCTTTTTAGCCTGGAAGTGGTTTAAGAATAATAACGTGTCTGAGATGAAATTAAAGTGAAATTGGTTCCATTTACCAGTGAGGGGAGCTGGTTTAAACCAGTAACCAATTATATTGACAAAAGCGGTTTTGTTTCAGTTCATGGTGGTTACAGTTCTTTTGGTCAGTGGAGTTCTTGTTCAGTTGCTTGCGGAAGTGGAACTCGTTCCAGATCCCGCTCATGCACAAATCCCCCACCACAATATGGCGGCAATGACTGTTCTGGATTGGGATCAAGTGTTGAAAGTCAAGGTTGCATCGGTAACAATTGTCCAAGTAAGAGAGAAGAAAGCAGGTTATTCTTCAATACATAGCACCTGAACAGTATTCATTTTTTTTTAAATTGTAAAATACTGAGAAACATTAATTAAAAATAATTTCACACAAGCGAACTACTAGAGAGGTTTCTTTTGAATAGTTAAATCACTTTAAAATTTCGTTCAGAGGAATAAAAGTTCAAATATTTCTCGACCACTTAAGCAGGTATTTGTAATGACTCTGGAAGTTTTTCCGTAGGAGGAAGTACGGTGGTGCTTTCCCGTTCTTCCTTTAAGTTTTCACCTGCAGCTAACTTCGCTCGTAGCAGTGAGTTAGCTGCTCATGTATGGGTGCCAAATGATACGGAGTTCATGCAAATGATCGTTATTCACAACATTATTCAGTTGTAATTAGGTTAGAACCACTTCTGAATAACAAACTGCCCATGTCAATTGATCAGTTGTACCTGCTCCTTAATATACACGTTTTAGAATAGTGTTTAGTTTACAAACACTGACCAGTCGTATATGGAATGTTTAATCAGACTCTCTCTAATACGGCCACCTTTGAGACCTGCACTAATCGTGTCCGTCTTAGAGAGATGCTCTTCTTAAAGACAGTCCACTAAAAGAAGCAAAGAAAGAAGCCAACTGTAGGTGCCAGTTCTAGGGAGTTGTCCGTCTTATAGAGGTGTCCGTTAAGAAAGGGATGACTGTATAAGAATGCGAGGTCGGCGTTTACACTTAGTAGAAGTGTTTGGATCTTACAGAATTGTTTCAGGATTTAGGCAGTCGTTTTTTGGCCTCCTATAAAATCCGTAAACATTCCCGCATACCCATGCAAACTCTTAAACACATGTTTTGGTTTGTTTATTTTTTCCTCCATTTATTTATTTTTCAAGCCATTTATATATATTGTGTTACAAGATTTGAAGATGAAGATGCCATTTGAAGAATAAATATCAGGTTACAAGAATAAATGGAGAGGGCAGGATATAGTTAAACTAATTACTTGCCCTTTGATTAAATTGCAGTTTTATTTAGTTTAAAAGAGAAAAAAGAGAAACGTATAAACCCTATGAACTATGAAAAATATACGAAAAATATACAAAAGAGAGGAAAAAGAAAAGCACATACACACACACACATAAAAAATATAACATTTGAGAGTCGGTGTAACGATGATTAATACTGAGCAAGATAATAGTTGAAAAGTGCTCTTTTAAACAGTTTTTTAGTTGTTTGGTCACGTATAGATAAAGGAATATCATTCCAATAATAGCATCCTATAACATGTTTAAGTGATAAATTTATGATATGTGTCAGCGGTCGAAATATTTCACGTGCAGCAGACAGGGGCACCCAACGACAATTTTCGGAAAAATATCTGTTCCGAAGACGATTTGAGATCTAGAATTTTCGGAACATTTGTTGTAAAATTTCTTGCTTGCCTGCCTCCCCTAGGATTTTCGAACATATAAAAAATGGTAAAATTGATCATTTTCAACGGATTTTTACCCTAAAAAGGTCACCTAGAATTTTCGGGAGCCTTTTTTCTGGCTGAAATTTTCGAACAGGTAAGTTTTGATCCCTATAATTTTCGGATCACTAGACTTTCAGCTAGGAAATCCGAACAGATGAAAAATTTATAGGGGATAAAAATATGCCCATATCCACCGTTTAAATACTAAAACACGTTTAACAATTCTATGTTTAAGTGGTTTTCACCTATATTTTCGTTGGGTGCCCCTGAGCAGAGGATAATAAAAGCGGGTGTACCGCTGTTTCATTCAGCTTTACTTTAGCTTTTAAGTTTGAGATGTCCTGAATGATTTGTTTCTGACCTTTGCTCAGTTGCCCAAGCGACTCTCGCACAAATGTTTCGAAGTCTTCTTCTTCTGAAACTTCTGCCTGTTGCTTCTGTTTTTCTCTCTTAGTTGCAGACATTGTTTACATAAAGGATTTTGACATGAAAAATTAAAATGGAAGAAAATTTGAAAAGAAACTTTAACTTAATTTCTCTTCAACACGGAGCTTTAAATTTCGCGGCCATCGTGCTCGATGACCGCTGACCGAATGCAACACATTGTTTTCATCAGTTGACGGCGGTTACAGTTCTTGGGGTCAGTGGGGTTCCTGTTCTGTGACTTGTGGTGGTGGCACTCGTTCCAGATCCCGTACATGCACCAATCCCCCGCCACAGTTTGGCGGTAACGACTGCTCTGGCCTGGGATCCAGTTCCGAAAGTGATGACTGTGAAAGGCAGTGCTGCTCTGGGGGTAAGAACAGAAACGTTTTAGTCTTAAAATATTTCCTTCGTTATCTGCAAGGTACACATTTATTACCCTCGAACTTCACAGAAGCGGCAGGATAAAGTCCCACACCAAACGTTTAAACTTCCTATAGCTTTTTTAACCGCCAAAGGATATTGTTGTTGATCAACTAAAACTCTGGAAATGAAACTAGCAGGTAAGATGCCTTTTACCTGAGGGTTCAAACGGTTTATGATGTCCCATATACATGAAGCCATGAAGTCAATGTTCCATTTCATTCAATGATGTTTATTTGTTATTGTAGAGAAAGGAGAGACAATATCGTTTCTAAATACCACCCATATGACGCTTTTTCGCTACTGATATTCTCTATAGCATTATCTTATTTCATCATAAATGAAAGTAATCAAAATCATGAAGCTCAAGTTATTAAGCAAGAACTATTTCAACTATTTCTTACAAATGACACTATTACAGATTCGTAACGAGTCATGTGTTACCAGGGATGGGTTGGGATCAGGCTCACAAGCCATGAGATCGGAATTAGTGGTGCTCTAAGCAAGGAGACTGGGGATTCAGTTTCTTTCAAGCAATCATTGTGCATGTACGCAGTTCATCAATTCTCATTAACAGAGGACAATTATTTCAACTTCCACCACTAAATCTAATATGACTGTTTCACATAAAATGACTACTGACATAATCGTCCNCTCGATGACCGCTGACCGAATGCAACACATTGTTTTCATCAGTTGACGGCGGTTACAGTTCTTGGGGTCAGTGGGGTTCCTGTTCTGTGACTTGTGGTGGTGGCACTCGTTCCAGATCCCGTACATGCACCCATCCCCCGCCACAGTTTGGCGGTAACGACTGCTCTGGCCTGGGATCCAGTTCCGAAAGTGATGACTGTGAAAGGCAGTGCTGCTCTGGGGGTAAGAACAGAAACGTTTTAGTCTTAAAATATTTCCTTCGTTATCTGCAAGGTACACATTTATTACCCTCGAACTTCACAGAAGCGGCAGGATAAAGTCCCACACCAAACGTTTAAACTTCCTATAGCTTTTTTAACCGCCAAAGGATATTGTTGTTGATCAACTAAAACTCTGGAAATGAAACTAGCAGGTAAGATGCCTTTTACCTGAGGGTTCAAACGGTTTATGATGTCCCATATACATGAAGCCATGAAGTCAATGTTCCATTTCATTCAATGATGTTTATTTGTTATTGTAGAGAAAGGAGAGACAATATCGTTTCTAAATACCACCCATATGACGCTTTTTCGCTACTGATATTCTCTATAGCATTATCTTATTTCATCATAAATGAAAGTAATCAAAATCATGAAGCTCAAGTTATTAAGCAAGAACTATTTCAACTATTTCTTACAAATGACACTATTACAGATTCGTAACGAGTCATGTGTTACCAGGGATGGGTTGGGATCAGGCTCACAAGCCATGAGATCGGAATTAGTGGTGCTCTAAGCAAGGAGACTGGGGATTCAGTTTCTTTCAAGCAATCATTGTGCATGTACGCAGTTCATCAATTCTCATTAACAGAGGACAATTATTTCAACTTCCACCACTAAATCTAATATGACTGTTTCACATAAAATGACTACTGACATAATCGTCCGTAGTTGCCATGGCACCAAGCGCACATTTTTTTATGTATTTCCACTCACAATATAGCGGTGGTTAGCTCGAAAGCTAAGCTCCTCTGACCACCGTACACTTCTATCTAAGCCATTAATTTTTTTTTTCCTTCTTCTTCTTCTTTATTAGTGTATTCCTACCTTACTATATATAATCAAATATTTTATAAAAGTGTGAATAAAATTGAATTGAATTGAATTAAATTGGTCATAGAACACGGGTTGACGCTGTAGAAAAATAAAAAATATACACTGTATACAAAAAAGCCAAAAAGGCACGGTCGGGCCAACTGGTGAAGATTAACACGGATTGGGGATTGCCTTCAGGTCACTTGAAAAACGTAGATACGACTTTTTTTGACACCTAGTCTCAGTCTGTATAAAAGTGTGATAGGTGTATAATATTCGGGAATTGCATTTTGCGCATATTAAAGTTTGATGTTCATTTTTCAAGAAAATAATCAATATATAAACTAAACGTACTGTGACTTAGCCTTTTTTATACGTCGAGAAAAGATTTAAATGACTTGTGGATAATTTGGCTTTCAGGCTCTTGTGGCGTTACCCAGGAGTCTCGACAGGACTGTGGTTATTATGGAATATCAGGAGGTGACTGCCTTGCAAGAGGGTGCTGTCATGATGATACAGTTCCAGATGGTATTCCACACTGTTACTTTCAAAGATGCTCATAGACACTTACAGGCTAATTGTCAGCATGGAGTTCACACTATGATAACAGGGAAAAATGGAGTGTCAATTGCATGAAAAAGTTGTACGACATAACAAGGGACCGGCAATAAACCATGACACGCCGTATAACCATAATACGGAGAAAAATACAACGCGGCTATACGCTCCGGTTTTTAGAAACTGGCGCCGGAAGTTAGTTTTAACGTTTATACAGGAAAACTTCATTCTATCCTTCATTTAATCAATTAATAATGCAATCACCGTTCTTTCAGCTGGTCTGTGCCAGAGCGGCCCTGATCTGACCTCAACATATATATGCCTTGCCCTGCAACAAAGCTACCGTTCTGTTAAGTCACTAGCAATCCTCTGGAATCGAACTCGAACTGCAGATGGTGTTTCTGAGACTTAAAGTTCTCAAGGGAATATCACTTTCCATCGTTTTTTTAGTTCTGACGTTCAAGGGTGGCAACTTAATATAGCGGTAGCCTCGCACCTCTATAAGACCTTCAATTTTATTGGATCTCTATATACAGTAAAAACTAGCATATAAGAACCTAAAATTTAAGAGCCTGCTAGGCTAAAATTTTCATTTTAAACCCCCTTTTCAAAAGAACCTTTTTAGCCTAAAATTTCCAATAGGTTCTTTCTTTACAAAAATGAAGGCACAGTTGAAAATACAGAAAAGAATTTAGTCTAGGTTTCAGTCAGTAAGATTCAAAGAATGAACTAAAATGAAAACCATATCATGTCTTCTCCAACACAGCATTTTATGGACACTGCAGCATGAAAGACATGCATACCAGTACTTTGGAAAGGTAAATTTACTGTATGGTTCTCATCTAAACTATATTCTAGATAATTATTTTAATATAGGAATATATTTCTTATCACATATGCTCTGTAGTAGTTATCTGTACTGGTCGCCTTAGTGCCCCTATCAAATTAAAAACCTATTTAAGAACCTACAATTGTAAAATCTATTTGGGCTAAGTTGGAAAAATCTAGGTTCTTATACGTGGGTTTTTACTGTATCGCATTTCTTTTGTATTGGGGCTTTGTTAGATTTGGGCTGAGGCGCTGTAACCTTATAAAGAGAGACAAGCACGAGGTGTCCCTAGCGTGATTTTCAGGCGCCCCAGGTCACTCGCTGCCACGTACTTTCTCCGTGACGGACCCTGACGTGGAAGCGAGAGAGCGCGTGACCACAAGAAAGCCTCAAAATCAGGCTAAGGGTGGCCGCGGCCGGCTACTTAATATAGGCGAACTTTTGATTAAAAAAGGTAACAAAGACAGTGTCTTTATGGAGGGTAAATTTAGACTTTGGAAACTGAGCGCATGATAGATAGGACTGTTATATACAGGTGCTACTGTAACACAAGAACCAAGAAATACGTCGATAGTAAAATGAATGCACCTTGTTTTCCTTTTTTGATAGCTTAATACTGTTTATCATATTGTAAAATAGCGCTCTAGTTATCGATATTTATCAATAAAATGGCTGTATTTACTTTGCGACTAAATTTTACTGATCACTGCACGCGATCCCGGAGCTTGCAAATTTGATGTAAGGAATGTACGTTAAGTCTGCGGCAACGTTAATGAAAACGAATGACGCTTTGGTCCGGTTGGAGACTTTCTTTCGTTTGAAAAACTGCATGTCATTCCCTTTTTCATGCTAGTTCCTTTGGAGCGATATGTTTATGGCATAATGGAAAGCACACAAGGTAAGCAATGTCTGACACTCCCATCATGTGCCAGTCAAAAAAGACATTTTTTGTAGCCAAAATGCATCATTAGCATTTGGAGAATTGAAAGAAAAGATGTTAGTAGTAAACACACCTGCTAGATTTTACGATATTTGGTTGACAACACGGCTTAAATCGCACTTGACTCTCGATTCTGGCTGGAAGATCGAAAGAAAAATGCACTCGGTCGCCGTCATTCTCTTTCTCTTAGCAGCGGGTAAGGTCAAGTGACTTGCTTTACAGTCGCCATTTTGTGTGTAAAAAAAAAAAAAAAAAAAAATTGTAAGCTTCTTGCTTCTTGATAAACATGTGTGTCGCTGAAAGCTTTCAACTGTGCGTTTTCGTAAGTTGCAAAATGGATAAAAGCTTTGCTATCTTATCGGCTTGGCTTTCAAAATATATCAGTTACATTAATCGAAACATGTCCTTCCTTTCACTGTTTATGGTGCCTTGAGTTTGCCATCAAACAGTGGTATTTCTAAACTTAATGTACGTGTTTAGATACCACTGAAGTAATCCCAGTACTAACAAGAACTGTTTTTGTTTGATAGGATATCCTGTTTGCTCAGGTAAGATTTCTGTGATCAGAATCAAAATAGCAGTACACGGGTATGCCATGCATCGTTAAAAGAACTAGTCCTGCTAAATCAGTGAAGAAAAAAAAACATTCAGAACAGTTTTAGTAAGAGTTTGGTACTTGAATATATTCAAACATTTGCTGATAAGGACGTTAATAATAAGATATAGGAGATTATAAGCCAAGGATAAGCGTCATTCAAATACTCTGATGACTATTCTGTTAAGTAATGTTTGATAAACGAGGAGAACCTATTATACACGTTGATTGATATATTCTCACGAGAGACCTAAAGCTACCTGCAAACAGACGCAACAACTCCCAACATTGTTGGCCCAACAATGCTGGGAGTTGTTGCGTCCGTTTGCGCGTAGCTAAACTTTCGACCAGTTTCAAACTTTGCGCAACAACTCCCAACAACATGCAATAGGGTGCGCAAACTGACGCAACATGTAACATCCAACAAGGTCGGGAGTTGTTGGACAAAAATGTTGCGTCCGTTTGCATGGGACTTTTTAAACGTTTAACCACGGCTAACAATGTTGGGAGTTTTTGCGTTCGTCTGCACGTAGCTTAAGGATTGGGATACGTTTGTTAAAATGCGTTGCCACTTATTAATATTAAATTGTTTACCTGTATTAAATTCCTTCGTGACTAAATTATGATTTTATTTTATTTTTTGGAAATTAATTTTAAGTTTCCATTAGGTATCTTAATACTTCGGTTTTGCAGATTGTTGTTTACAACTTTTATCTCAAACTTAGAGCTCGTTTACCCCTGTGCTGGTTTTATTCCATCTCTCCGACCTGACTGCGGTTATTATGGGATACAGAAAGAAGAGTGTTTACGTCGCCTATGCTGTTGGGATGATACCATTCAAAATGTTCCTTGGTGTTTTAAAAACAGTAAGAAAAACAAGTCTCTTTAATTTCCGTTCGCACCTTGTAAGGCAAATTCTTAAGGGCAACTTTGAGAGTGTTTATTCTGGGTCACAGTTAACGTACAGAGATGTGGCTGTAGCGAAAAATAGTTCGACTTTAGTCCGGGGAATAAAAAAAGGAAATAAAATTTTTACAGTGGAAAATTAAGAAAAACATTCTTTGTAACGATTTTAAAATATGCGTACTAAGCACATTTACTAGAATCCTGAAGCTCTCAGGAATAGATGGATGCGAAAACTAGCCACAGTTTGTTTGAGAAATAAATCTAAGATAAATAAAAATCAATTAAACAAAATAATAATCATAACGTTAACGATAATGATG